TCTCTGTAATCCCTAGAATATTACGTTTCTGTGAAGACAGACGTTAAGTCTGAGAGATTGGCTATCTTTTGGTATAAATTTCAACTCTATAAACCTATAATTCATAGATTTGACCCTTGAATCTACAGTTCAACAGAAACATGCACCTACTTCTAATTATATGAGATATATATCTCTACATGTTGACACTTTGGAACTCTCTAAGTACTAGAATACTACGAAAACTTGGTGAAATTGGATTGTTTTTTGGATGACGCCGGTAAACTATAGTGCCTACTGTAGCTGGCTTCATCTACGACCTTAATTACTATGTCGTCGCCGTTGGATCTTGAGATCTTGATTCTTGGGGGAGTTGAACCCCCGGATTGGGAGTTGAAATACTAGATCAGGCCTGGTAAAACGTCGGGCCGATGTATGCCTTGTAAAGGCTTACAGACTGGAACATGCGTAAAAAACAGGCATTAATCAGCGGTTTTATGAGCGCCAAGATCGTAGTTATGCATAGAAATGGGCTATATTGGGGGCCTCATGGGCCCCCACTCATGGGCTATGGGTTGGGGCGGGCTATAGAGGTTAGGCCCACAGCCCACTGCTGGTTGGGCTATGGGCCTAAAGGTCGGGCCCATTTATGGGCTTTGCGGAGGTCTAGATCATAGGACCAGCAAGTGTTTTTTATCTCGGTCGCTCGCCTCCAATTCGTTCCCAGACAGAGGCAGTCCCATTACTGCCTCCAGAAGTAAGTGGGAAACCATACTTATTAGGCCTGATTAACGATACCAGTTTTATTCGCGTAGTCTCTGTCGCTGTCCGTATGAATAGCAAATAGGTACTCATCGCAGTATCCAGATACAAAGATGCACATCTTCATCATCACTATTAAGGAACTTTTCACGCTCTGCAGACGGTTCCATCCGTACTAGGAACTAATATCTGGGCCCTGGGAGTTCTCTTGCTCCTGGGAGCCTCTGAAACGTTTGTGGGAGCCAAGAAGCAGCTCTCAAGGAGCCCCTAGCCCTACGAAGCATACGGACGGAGATGTGGTCTGCGCGGGACCCACATGGGTGCATACGATGTTGGTGGGACACCTGAATAGTCCTGCACCTCACATTGCTGCTAACCGTGGCTATGACTCGGTGCGCCCCCAGTTTTGTTCCACATATGTGTCTCCCTAAACGCGAGGAAGCTTCTCTCTATTGCTTCCTTGAGCCACGACTTGTCTACGTCAGATATAGTCGTCTTTGATGTTGATTGCTTATCCGCGACCCTATCAACCTCTGTATCCGTGAGACCATCACATACAAGACCATTCCTCCTGGGAGCCCGATCGGCTGCTCCAGGAGGTAGCAACTCCTCGCATTAATGACCAGGCCGTACGCCGGGAGTCTAGAGCATTGCCATCTATTGACGACTAAGAATCTTTCTTTCCACCCGAGATTCACCACATTTGAATTGTAAGTAGAATACTTATATGGTAGGTCCTGCCTCCCGGGAGCCTAAATCGTTCCTGATTCCCACCTATCAATTTCCTAAGGCGTACAACAAGTCATCCTGCATTCCGAGCTCAGACAGATTGCCGCAAGATATATCTTATGACACATATAAGACAGTCGAGCGTTCTCTTCCATCTCTCATCTTTCTATCCAAGTCACCCACCAGGCTAATTCCACACGAACCAAGCCGTAATCAGCTCCTCTCAACCCAACATTTCAATGTGAGTATGCCCGCCTCCACTATTTACTACACGACTTGGTGTATGAGTTAATACTAACGTAACGGATAGATGTTTCTCCTCGATCTTCCCGTTGAAATGCTTCTTTGCATAGCGGAGAGCCTGGATCAAGCCAGAGATTTGTTTGCGCTGGCTTGTCTCAATCATGCAGCGAATGACCTTTTCCTCAACTATCTGTACACGTTCAACGTCCGACACCAACGCAGCTCTGCCTTATTTTGGGGAGTTCGCCAAGGCAAATCGAAATTTGTAAAAATGGTGTTGGACGACTACGGAGCGGACGCCAACACTACGGACGATAAATCTCGCACACCAATTTTTCATGCAATGCGCACTAAGAACGAGACAATTATTCGCACGCTTCTTGTCGACAAAAGAGCGGATATCAATTGGCAAGATCAGCGCAGGCAGACCCCACTCGTATATGCCATGGAAAGGAATCTTCTGTTTACTGCATCAATTTTACTGGATTTTAATCCATGTCTGAATATAACGGACGTCAAGAACCGGTCTGCTATTTGGTACGCCGTCGCATCCTGCGATGAGAATCTGGTGCAATCCTTCTGGAACGGGGCAGCGATATACGAACGCCAGATTACAAATTCGATGTCTAAGCATCCTGCGAAGAATGCAGGCTGTGTCTCGTTGGACTTAGGAAGGACTTAGCAGCGGAGGTGCGGGCTGGTGGTGGATATGGATGATCAGGTATAGCGGTGCTAGCTAGCTAGCGACGGCTCGGCCGTGACACTTGATTTGAAGACTACTGCCCCAGGAATGCTACGCTAGCTCCGTTACTTTGGGGGCAATACAAAGTTTGTTTCATAAGGCCCTGTTAAGCTTGTTAAGAGAATTATTCGAGTTTCAGAATCCAAAACCCAGCCGAGACTTCCCGGTTGCTGTGCAGCGCCGTTACTACCCAGTCAATATCTGTCAATCAAATGGCTCACACTCTCGGTGAAATGGGAAGTCCGCCCAATCTGGCTGATTTAGTCTGGATGCCTAAACAAGGGACTTCAACTGGGGTTTAGCACGAGCATTAGGAAAAGAACTTCATTTCTCTACCCGATCATATCAATTGGTAGTTGTATCAGAACCCTCACCAGCATAGTTAAGACAGTGGATGATCAGCTTAACTGACTTGACACATTGTGTGCCAGCAGAGGTGACTTGCCGAGCGATCAGCAAAGAAGACTCATCATCCTACTCAAAAACTTTCTGCGGCCCTAAAGGCTCGTCCGAAGGCCCTGCACTGCTCTATTTTTGTTTGCAGCCTGTTTTAAGCCCCACTCAAGATCAACGGGATTTTAAGATAATGAGTTTCTTATGGAGTACTTGGGTGTCAACGAAGCTAACACAGTCGCACACGGTTAACAGAAGGGTAGGTGATCTAAAGTGTGATGGTTGTAACGTAATTAATTTCGTTCATTCTTCCATGCTTTCCTTTACAAGTGTAGTTGGTCTTGCGGGTCTCATTTCTATTTGAACCTTTCTCCCGAGCTTGACACGACGACTATCGAGTGAGTGTAAGTCTTTTGGATATTTGCGAATTATTTTTGAAGCATAGGTTTTTCCTTTATAAGGTAGTGATGCCGATGTTCAGAGGGAGTTAGATTGGGACCGGAATAGCGGAGCCGCTTCTCCCTCTACAACGATGTGTCAGCCAGTCCACAGGTAACGTTAGTTAACCGCGTAGTCCCGTTGGGGGTAACCAAATATGCAGCAGTTATGTTTCTTTACAGGCGCAATTTTATTGGTAGTTAACTAAGAATATTAAGATTAATTTGCAAATTTATTGATTTCAAGTAGCAGTTGACTCTTTAAAACGGCTGTTTCATAATAGCACTTCACTCTATCACATGTAGATGTACTCTTAGAGGCGAATTAACACTATCGACTTATCCTCTCAGAAGATCTGACTGGCACCGGATATGCAAGTCTACGACGACTTGTTGGGTGGCATTGTTACCTCTCTGGAGGGTTGAGTTCAATTGCCCTGGCTTGAGGAAAGTAGCCACAAGAAACAGGCTGTCAACTGAATACATATATTACGAAGTTAATTAACACTCTCTCAGTTTCGTACAATCCTCGGTTTATATCTGTACATTCCAGTCGTATTCGGCACCTACCAATAAGCTCAGAAAGGTGTTACAGGGGCTTTCATACCTTGGATCCTTTACAAAGATGAAACTAGTAACTACTAGAACCTGGGTTTATTCTCGCAAATGCCATGGAATGAGAAAAGAAAGAGGGAGAGACAGGCCCCCAATGATCATGGGTCTGCCCATCGTAAATACTGAACTCAGTAAAGTGTCGCGTTTTTCAATCTGGGGCCAATTACTCGTCGTGCTAAAAAGCCCCATGACGATGGTCACCAACTGGTTTGGATAATCTGTTGAGGTTTTAGGTGACCGACTCGACTATCAGCTATGAAAACCTCAGTCGGCTTGGCCCACGCATATAAGACGCAGTTTGCGAGACGCGTAGTCTTTGCACTCTATACATAGTCTTCACTAGTCTTCACTACGCCGCAATTAACGTGAGATAGATCGGGTAATAGGAACCAGTGGTTCAAAACCGTGATATTAAAGGAATATAGCTTCTCCTCATGTTTCGCGAGTGGGTCCCGTTCTGGCCGCACTAAGTCAGGAATTGGAGATCCCTGATCATCAATTCACACTGTAGGGGAATGAGCCATAATTAACGCTGTGGAACAGTACGTTCCTGTATCTTCCTAGATGAGTAGTTCATGTTTTTTGGTACGACATATATAGGGGCACCTCATAAGTTTTAGCGACATATTCTGCCTGTGGTAGTCCCGCCAATCAAAGACTTCAAATCGTAAATGAAAACTATTTACTGCACAAATAGGCTGTGTAATATTATAGGAGGGCGATAGTCGACGGGGTCTTGAAACTTAGGAGTTACACTGCATTCGTACTAGTGGAGGAGATAAACTTCGCTCCATTCAAGGGTTATTCCAGTCTCTAATCTCCATTACATCTAGATCATCTTGGTGGGGCTTTGGCTCGATAGGCACGGACGCGGAACGGCCCGGACACTGGAAGCCATTCCCCGACGGATTATTTCCAGGCTGTATCGCTGACAGTCAATGACATGCCTTCCGCCCTCTTCCTTTCTTCGGTGCCCTCTTCCTTCCGGCGATCTTATCCGCACGCCGTTTTCTTGCGTTCTGCTTCTTGATCGACCATCGGTGACTCGCTATTCAGCAGATTGAATTTGTGCTCTGGGGAAGACCACTCAGTTCAAAGTCATGTCCCCTAGAAGTAAGCGTAATTTCACCTGCTCCTGGGAACGCTGTGGCAAGGTCCGTTTTTCTCCCCTTTCTGGTGATGAACAAAATTTGCTCCCTGCGGATTAACACGATCCCTTCGCCAGTCTTTTTATCGCAAGTCAGATCTCTGCCGCCATTATCGGATACACACCAATGAGAGGCCCTACCATTGCAATATGAAAGATTGCAACAAAAGCTTTATTCAGCGCAGCGCTTTGACTGTACACTCCAGGATTCATACGGGTGAAAAACCATACGTCTGCGACCATGAGGGGTGCCAGAAAGCCTTCTCAGATGTGAGACTCTCGCCCTGGATCTTGGGTCCAGTAAATCCACTAACCACCACAGTCCTCCAGTCTAGCCCGTCATAGAAGAGTGCACACTGGGAAGCGACTGTGCGTATGTCGAGAAGAAACCTGCGGAAGAAGGTAAAGCGGTTCTGAAAACTACCATCCAGCTATGTCAACCAACTCACATCGCGGCGTTCTTTATTGTAGTTCCTGCCGCAAAGCTGCTCTCACGAAACCCCAACGCGGCTCCCGCTCTCCGAGAGCTTTGGTTCAAACACCATTTGTAGACACCACGTCGGAACATTACAATCAACACGAGACTCCTGCAGCCGTGTCAACCCCCAATACGCAAGACCAGAATTCCTTCGCACTGCAGCCCTTCTACCCACAATCAGCGTCGCCCATACATGGCGTTGCGATGGGCTCAGTGCACGTGTACGAGGGTTCTCCTGCCAGCATAGCACAAAGTGTGCCCTTACCTTCGGCGACGAACCTACAGTACGTCTGGCAACTTGTCCCTCAGCCACACCACGAGACTCCCGTGGCCGTGCCAGTCCCCAGTACGCCAGACCAGACCCCATTCGCACTGCAGTCCTTCTACCCACAATCAGCGTCGCCCAGGCATGAGCTTCGCTCCATACATGGCGTTGCGATGGGCTCAGTGCACGTGTACGAGGGTTCTCCCATAAATATGGCGAGTTACGAGTCTGGTTTGGATATCAACATGATAGTGCCGTGTTTCTTCTGGACTTGAAAGGTGATACCACATGTGCTGCCTACTATGGTGGCGGAATGAAGAAAGCGTCAGGACGTGGGTCCGAGAACCAGAGCATGATGCATGTTACTTCTGGGACTGTGCAGCAGTTGAACCAGTTTACTCGAGTAGCGCACCATTACTCCGCTCTCTACCGGTAAATGTGCTGGAAGTCGAAGCTTCATGGGCTATTTAACATACCCTTTGAGAAAACTTTCTTCAATCCATCAACTATTTAATATATTTGGTTTCCTCCTGGTCGATCTAGCCTTACCAATGCATATTAGTTAGTACTGTTTTAGCTTATCCTCTCGAACTGAGGGGGTGGTATTTACCACTAAGGATAGGGTTATGCATCAAGTACCCATTCTCTCTTTGTCTTTTTATGGTAAACGGGGTACGCTCGGCTACCAGCGTTGTAACACGCTAGGAACGAGTCCTGAGATCTGATAACGCTTCAAGAGCAAGATCCAGATACAACAGTCAATGCATCTCAATGGGACGTCCCGATACTAGCACATACCAGTATCTGTCAATCCACAATATACCTCCGTTCAGAAATTATGTACCTGTGCTGAAATTTCTACAAAGCCAAAAAAAGTGCGGTCTAAATAGTGGGTAAGCATGAGGTAATTCGTGTACATTGAATTGGTGTTTTAGTTGATGCGGAATAAAGGATCGTTTTCATGAGAATCGGGCGATGAAAAATATGGGTAAAATATTAAAACATGAGGCATGCAAAGCAGTGGGTATAATCTACAAGGCATCCAACGCTAGCTTTAATTGAGGGTAAGAAATGTTGTTTTAGGTGCGAGTGATTATCTCCCCGCCCTCCTTGATTTTTTTCTGCGGGAATGCTCCATTGTACAGTACCCGTCCAATTTTCCATTTTTTTGTTCCTGATTGAAAATTATTCACATAAGGGTTCAGAATTTTGACGTGGACGGAAATAGACTGATCGTATTAGGAAAAATGGAGTGCATTACTGTATATCCAAAACGATTAGGGATATCATCTGCAATGTATGTTGTAAGGCTTCACCTGTCGCCCAATTCTTCGTATAACTGAGTATTTGGGTGAACAACAGGTGAGATCGAGCATCGACAGTTGAGTGACTGTTTACCGAACTATTCAATGCTGTTGAAAACCAGACCCGAGGGGTTATGAGTGCAGTCACAGCAGCCATGGTGTGAGTTTGCCGGTATATAAAAGGCTCTCGAGTAATCTTTTCCTCCATTTCATTTCTACAGCCACGATGGACCATGCCACCTCGCCTTCTCCATTTGATCGGCCAGCGAAGAGACAGCGTCGGGTATCCCAAGATGGGGAAGATGAGTCCAAATTGGAAAACCACCCGCAAGGATCTTCAAACGGCACAATCGTCGAGCCCAAGGTCGGTCATACCTCTTCGGCAGGAAACGAACAGAAACACTAATGCTCTGCAGATCCCAGTGACACCTGGTGCCCTGACGGCGGAGTTTATGAAAATTCTACAATACAATGACACCCTCGCTACGCCAGCCCTGAAACTGCTTGACCTGTACTTTTGCCTATGGGAATGCTACGTCGTCAAATCTGCCGAGAAGATGCGACTTGAGGATGAGCAGCGACAGCTTCAAGAGTTGAATGAGTGGCTAGCAAGCGACAGTGACATCCTTCTGCAGCTTTGCGAGGAACAGAAACTGATATTGTGGGATCGAAAACGAGCAGTTCAGGCCCTTTGTAACGGTGTGGTTTCAGCCTTGCAAGCGAGCGATCCTCAAGCCTATCATGTTGATGGGAATTGATAAGATCTCAGTATTGTTTGACGCGCTTGGGTAAGGACACGTTTGGATATTTCTGCTATGTATTGGTGCTCTCTACCAGTTATCTTCGCTGATTATAGAGAATGCGAATGCAATTGCGGATGAAATTAATCGGGTTCTGTGACGAAGTGTCAACGTTCCACAGCTGTTGATATTTCAAGCGCTTGGTTTTCGAGGCCTTAGGATCTGGCCGTAAAGCCCTCCTAACGTGCCCTGGTCTTCTATAATTGAAGATAAATAAGATCTCTGCTCAGCTTGCGGCATCTTGTCCCTCCCAACCCGTCAAATGCTACTTTAGACACTTCTGTAATTTCCCACTAGCAGACCCTGAATTGAAATGGACGAAATGAGCGAGTATTGTCCGTACATGTTTCTTCAATGCATGTTTTGTGCTAAAATTAGTGACTGTGATTTCGATCTTGACCTTCAGGCTATCTGGCAGAAGTCTTCTGGTATATCGACAACGCCCTCATGTCTTGCCACGGATCTGGATCCGCGACATATTATCTAGGATGAAACCGAGCCTGCAGAATATGGGACCGGGGGTCTCCCTTCAATGAATGTGTTTTTAACCCCAATAGCGATAACCTCTCCGGCTTCAAGTGGACGGGTCCAGATTCTTCGTTCATTTCTACTCAGGCTAGCTATAATTTCTACATATCAGCGTTCGCTTGTTTTTCCCGGAAGAGGTGCAATAGATAGAGCGTCGACTAGCTCGGTCTGTGAGAGCATATATTCTTTTTCCCCGGGTTGAAACGGCCCTGGGGAATCTGTGTCGAGTACGCAGGCAGTTGCTAGACAAAGTCCCCCGACATAGGATTGGTGCAATAGCCATTAGGCTCCGCATGACCCTATGGCCTAGTATGGAGCCTCTACCGCATTCCACGACGGCTATTCATGCCCTTCTTACTGTAAATACGTGCCAAATATAGAATGCTTCCATGCGGTAATTCTCTTTCAATTGCGGCTCTGTCGTATTATCTCCAAGTTGTTAAAGTAAGACATAGGACAGATATAAACATGCAATGCTTCACTCTTCTCTTGCGTTGTCCAAAAACCCTGGTAGATTGAGTCTGCAAGGGTGATCCCAGTCATCGAGGATCCTAGTCAATCGACCCCGAGATGATTCCAGTGCCTGCTCAAAGAAGTGCCGCCGAGACAGCTGCTTGTCGTGGCGCAGCTGAAGTCCGTCCCTTTCTTGAGTCAGGTGTGTGCTAGCTTCCTTCAAGATCTGATTGCTCTGCTCTAGGTTCTGTCCATCGATGTGTTTGGACACGCACGACTCCCATAGGTGTCGATAGAGTCCGACAATTCGACCTGCTGGAAAGGCAAACTTGGGATCGTCGCGTTCAAGGTCTGCTAGCACCTTCAAAATAGGTTGAAAGGGCTCGGTCGCCAAGGTATGTCTTGTTTCTGCTTCCTGTTGCGAGGGAGAGAGCTGCGACGGTCAGCAAGAGCATTGGAAGCTGAGCCGCATTACTTACCTGTGGAGGGACATGATCAGAAGCTTCCTACAAATTGTCTTTTTCACAAACGATTGGCAATGCACTGGGCTGTTGTTCTCCTTCTTTTTCCTGGTCTGGCGTGCTGCTAGGGGCCTCCATCTTGGTTGTAGTAAAATTCGAGTATCTGAGCAATAGCATGTCCATCAATTATTGGAGGATTTTATAGACTAGCAGACGCAGGTGGTTACTCATTCTCACTTTCACCGTGAATGTCAATTAACACAGTTTGACTTTGCTTAGAACCCAAAGACTTTTCGGGGCTCTGTTAGCAGTCCGTTCAATGGTGCTGGTGAGAATCTCGTAGTGTTGATTGTTGGTGAATGTGCCTCATATTATTGGCTAACTGGTGATGAACGGTCCAGGAGATATATTGTTAAAACTTGGGATGTCTAATGGTAGGAGATGAATGGAGCATGCAAAACAGTCTATTCCAGAGAGGTGTTTAAGTCTGATCTTCCATAGTATGAAAGATCTGCTATATATACGGTCGCACTAGTACTGAACTGGGAGGTGTCAATATTGACCTAAAGAGATGTGAGGCATCTGAATTGATGCATCAGAATGATGCCTTAAATGCAAGGCATCATACGATGGATCTTGCATCCATCTCAACATATATATTCAACCACAACGCATTTTCCACATTCGGTTGAGAGCTGAGAAACCCCAAACGTAAATAGAGTAAAATCTAGAGGACAGAAAAAGAAAATCGAAAAAAGGATATCTATCTCAACCATGATCACAGGTTCAAAAGTTGACTCCCGTCAGCAAGGACGGCCAAGCTTCAACGGGTTGACGGGTTGAGTACCGGTCGCGCGGCCTGACGCTTTCCGCAGCCTAGAGGGACAGAACCACACACAGCGCAGACAATCAACACTCGAGCGAGGCCAGAAAATTTCCATGTTCCTTGGATGAAAATGTGAGCGCTCTTGGTAAAATCAAAGAATGCACAGCTTCCATTGCCTCAGTATTAAGACCGTAGATTCAACAGTGAGCCAACGTTTCTTAACCGACTCACTTTGACTCATTCTCTACTTGACTCTAGCATGTTTTCTCGCTGGGCATCAGAGATGACACCAGAATTTCGCTGCAAATAGTTGCGGTAGAACGAAGGCATAGATTGCAACAGACCTCAGTTAGGATAGGCATCGTGTCCAACATTTGCTCCCTAGTAGAGCACATACGCGACAGGAGCCGAGAAGCCTATAAATACGCCCTCTCCCCCAGCAATTTGTTCTACAATACTGTCACTTGCCGCGCAAATTCGAGCAGGCCTTCGGTGAGGCACCTGATAAGTCTTCCCTTTGACCCTACTGGAATACCTACTGCACTGACGTCTATAGATACAATGCGGGCCGACAAGCTAGAAAGTGCTTGCGAGATTACCACTAGGTCTACTATGCAATCCATGCCAGGCGACCAACCAACAAGATTTGGGTTAGCCGGTCAAAGTACCTATGCGAACATCTGTCCACCAAATCAGTGGACTCACTGTCCCGCCTCTGGATGAATCGATGCAAAACCCGATTTCATACAGCTACGTAGATCTCAGCGCGACCTGTCCGAAACTGGACTGACTTCACAGACGATGCGAAAGAACTAGAACCGTGCATTCCGGTCAATATACACCAGCGCAAAAGCCATGGAACACTTTCCCGTGTCTTCTTCTTTAGTCTTGACCTTCAGAACCTGTGAGTCATCTCTCCGATGTACAAGCTAATAATGGACAAGAGACCGTTGACAGCGCAACAGCGCACCAGAGTGCGTCCGAGCCAGCATCCCGTCAGCGCTCCGCGCGAAGCCACGGGTTACACACCATTTCTGGTCCTGCCGCTTCAAATCATGCAGCGTGTCCTATGTGGAGCATTGCAATTCAATGCCGCAGGCCCACAACAGGATGCATAAGCTCGAGACGTTCGTTGTCTACGATAAGGTGAGTGGAATATCGCGCTTTTGCTGCGCCGGGTTTGATTGCTTGTGCCAAGCCTGCGCCTCAAACACGAACACCACTGACATCTCCATGCCGTTGTAAAAGCAGCTGATAACCCACCGTGCGAGGAACTATTCCTTGCCGAGTCAGATAAACCAAGGGCACTACGACGCGCTCCATCGCGTCTTTCGCCTTCCACCTCACCGCCTTCGCACCCTCAACAACTGAGTGCCTCTCCAAGAAGCAGTCTCCCAATACGACTGTACAATTTCTTGTCACAGGGGGCTCGTCGCGCGCCTTTGCCGTCTTGTGAACGTGCCAGCGCATCCAGCGCGGCTTCTCGAAGCGACAGCCGGAGAGTGCGACGAACCTGGATACAGCATGGCATGATTGGTGACTGCGTTGCCGAAGAGAATTTGAAGTGATCTAGTTGTTAAGCTGGTATGATCACAATTCCAATTAATTATCGGTCTCAAGCATACACTCGGCGGATTCTTCATGAACAACATAAAGCACAATAGCGTCCAGCTGGATCAAATCTTGCTGACTCGGATTCCACAACAGGAACACACCCTCAGATTACCACCACTCGAATGCGAAGCAAGCAAGCGTCTTGTCTGCTCGAGCTCTCCCTACACCAATGCGATCAAATGCTCTGTCCCTCCCACTATGAATACGGTTGGCATCGATCATGAGTCACCGTACGCTTCATACAGTGTATTTCGGTTCTTTCTCCCAGCCGTTTCTGTGCATCAGATCATGCGTTGGTGTGTCTATCTGATGCAAGACACAAACTTCAATGAACGTATAGCATGTCTGTCTCTAGGCATTGAACACCCACAGGGGATAGCCTACTTGCGGCTTGGATACCTGACGTCCAGTGGGTGACCATCGTTGTCCTCGGATGGCGTCTACAGTCTTTCGAGCATGGAACTTGAAAGACGCCGAGAATTCTGGTGTTTCTGTCTGCTTGATAGCGGACGAGCCGTACTTTCGCAGACGGCCAGGTTGTTAGTTAAAGTTTGCGTGCAAGGAGAAGGCGAAGCGAAAGTCCCGTTATTTCTAGCCGAATAAACTAACAATAACCATCTCAGCTTCAAATCAAGTGGACAAGACCGAGGACAGCCGAACCAAAGATAGGGCCCATGACCCAAAAAATACCGTCTGATACAGTCCCACCCTAGTCCCTCTCCCCTCTCCGCGTTGCTCAGCTTGTCGACTTATACGAACCATTCGGACATACACGGACCTGCATGCTATTAGAAGTGTTTGTATGCTCCCAGTTGGACAGAACGTTGATCAATTTGGCCCCGAAGCTTTCTTTTTTCCTCTCCAAGCCCAAGCACTATGTCCAAAGCATGTACGTTGAAAGTCACTGCAGCTCCAGGTCAGTCAAGCTATCGTGTATCCTTTGTCCATTGAGACCGTCTTCTAACATATCGCAATTGGCGGCGAAAGCGGCCTTGCCAGCATATCACCGACTTCTCTAGCTCCCGAGTTCGCTGTCCTTTAAGCATCGATGATGTTTTCGCAAACCCATCGCGTTTGGACGATATCTGGCATATCACCGTTCGAGCAACTTACCGTGAAGCTGGGTTTAATGTCTGTAACATCACTACTCGAGCTATTGGGTTGTAGGACCTCCTGGACTCTCCCGTACAGCCTATACTCAATTCTCTACCCCCTAATAAGGCCTTATGCCATACATCGCTCTTAAAACCCTAAGCTGATCAACCATTCCCAGAATCATAGCTCGACTCCTGCCACGTCATGTCGCGTTGCACTCTAATCGTATTCAGCGGCACCTCATCCCCCGACGCATCGTCCGGCTGGCTGACCTCCAACTGCACACTCTGTTTGCCCATGACTTCGCCCGGTGGACGCAAGGCCAAATTACTCACGTCATAGCTCTTCAGGCCGGAACCACGTACGCCAGTCGTTTGTGTGCGGGCGCCGATCGAGCTCGCGAATTTCGAGGAGAGCATGACGAACAAGGGACGCAGGGTGGGCATGCAGGCCGAGATGATGCCGCTGGAGCACTCAATGAGACACCAGGTGCAAGCCTTGGCGAGGGTCCAGGGGGTGTCGATGGGTTGGAATTCGAAGAGTGTGGAGAAGCGGTAGGCGCTAGAGAAGACGACGCTGTGGAAGTGAGATGCTTGTTAGTACAGTCCGCTACTCAAGCTTTGAAACTTGTCTATTTTCGAGGGAGGGAGGGGAGACAAACAAACTGCCCAGCAGAAATACCGCAATTACCGATAGCCGATGCGTTACAGTCGCATGCAGCCCCCAGACAACGTGCACTGGCAGAGCCAAGATAGCGATGTCGGTTAGGATATTCGGCACTGCGTTTCCGATGAACGAGCCCTTGAGGTTGATGCAAGCACCCGACAGGGTAGGGTTCCAAGCCTTTGCAATCGGGGTGCACTGAAACACGCTCACGCAGATGATTGCGACAACCCATCCGATGACGATGCTGCCCAGGATTATTGCGGTAATGCGAAAGCCTCTCGTGGGGAAGATACGAGCATACATGAGCAAGATGGAGATCTTGACGATTCCCACTGTCATGCAGTATACGCATTCGAAAGACATCAGGAGCTGGTAAATGTCAATCTACGGGTCTGAATTATGTCTGGTTTTCGCTTTGATCGTACCTTGGCAATTATCACGATATTTCCTTCTGGCAATACATCGGCGTGTCGGCCCATGCCAAAGTGAATCACTGCGATGTGTCAGTCACTTACAATGCACCGGCTATACCTGCGGAAGGGGCTGTCTCACTCGCCAGATTAATTCCACAGGTCGCGAACAGGAAGTACTGAAATCAATCGCGGAAGGCCCTCCAGTCAGGTAAGGCTTTTCCAAAAGAGAGACGAGGATGGCACTTACCAACGAAAGCAGTATCACATAGTCATCAGCACCAATCCGCAGGCCTTTCTTCCAACGAGCCAAAAACCGCAGAATGACAAAAACCACACCCAGAACAGTCATCGAGATGGTGCCTGCTCGATACTCTCCTTGACGACTCTCATAGATATCCGCAGTCGCCATGCTGGAGTCCGACTCTCGCGACGCTTAATTAACCACGCGAAATAAGCACCTAATCTAGTGCATGGTTCCCTGTTGAAACCTGCAAGGAAAGAAAATAAAGTGTGCAGAACTACTCAGCCCACAAGTGCACACAATATGTTGCGTTCTTCAGTACCGAAATTAATCCAACGGGATTCCCCCCTGCAATCTCCGAAGAAACTGCTGACCAAGCAGCTGTTAAAGGCTTAGAGCCACATGGGTGGGCGCATTTGAACCTATGTCAAAAACGGCCAAGCTCAGAAAGACCCGCCAACAAATGAGCTCTCGACATTCGAATCATCCTTGTTTCTTCGGCACAAAAATACTTTGGCATGCCTCCTTTTCTCGGCCTCGAGCCCTGCATCATTTATCCTCTACCAACCCTGTGGAGCCGCAGTCTGCCACGCCGTTGGCCCCGGACAACTTCCAGGTGGCACGGGACCTACGCTAATCCTGGTGCTCTGTAGCTGGATATCTGGTGTGACAGATCGCTACGTTTATGATGCTTGATAGGAGCCCACTTGGGAGTTGGCGTTCTCGCGGGAGTTGTGGGAGGGCTAGGCTTGGCTCTATGTCCACTTTGAACGCGGCACGATCTGGGCTGGAGAATGGGTGATGTTATTGTCCCCAGGAGACGGGGGAATGTGTCGTCTCGAATGGACTCCATGGCTTTAGCAAAGTGAACAGCGTGAACTGAATGAAGGGACTGTTGCAGGCTTGCTCCGCAGAGATTTGTGGGCCGCCGTTGTCGGTGGTCTGCCTGAACTTCGGTTGAGGTGCGAGCTTAAACGTTTCCTGCCCCTTTAAACTAGCTGTCGTCACAGCTACTGCTTGGTGCTGCTTTCCAGTCCTACTCCAGGCTTTTCTACAAAATTCGCTATTCTAATTGCTCCCTCGAGTCATCACGACAGGCTACAAGTTACATATAGACTTGGACGACAATGGCTGTTAACAACACCCCCATCTATGTCTTTGTGCCGGGTGCATGGCACACACCCGATACCTTCGATGGCATCCGTGCTCTCTTGACCACACGGGGATATGACTCCGAAGCTGTTGCGCTCCCTTCTGTCGGCGCGGCCGAACCCACCAAATCCGGCGTCCACGCTGATATCGCCCATACCAACGGTGTCCTCCGGGCATTGGCAGAGCAGGGCCCTCAGATTATCGTGGTCACGCACTCGTATGGTGGCATGGTGGGCGCAGGCGCCGTCGAGGAGCTCGGATACGCTCAACGGTCCAAGGCCGGTCAGCCCGGTGGCGTGATTATGGTGGTTTGGCTGGCCGCTTTCGTGACGCCCAAGGGCAAGTCTGTTATTGATATGTTGGGAGGGAATTGGCTGCCATGGATGCTTCTCAGTGTATGTATTCCCTGGTCCAGCCTTTGCATTGCAAGGACAAACACTTATAATTTCAAAAAAAAAAAAAAAAAAAAAAAAAACTGTTACTGATGATCATAGGACCCCGATGATGGCTACTGCCGCTCCTCCCAGCAAGAAACCGTCTTCTACCACGACATAACACCCGAAGCCCAAGCAACCGCCATTCCCAAGCTGAAGCCGCACGCCAAGCCCTCCTTCCTGGAGCCGGCTACCTTTGAGCCCTGGCACGAGATGCCATCCATGTACCTCTTCTGCGACAAGGATGCTGCTCTGCCGCTGTCCATCCAGGAGGGCTTTGCGCAGACATTGGGTAACCCGGTAACCTTTCACGTTGATGCGTCGCACTCTGGTTTCTTGAGTAAGCCTGAGGAGACGGCAGATGGACTGGAGCTTGCGTTAAAGGCGGGGCGGGAGCAGAATGGGATTTATTAGGTTGTTGTTGGGTTCAGAACTGTGTTTGACGTCCAACGATTGCTTTGCATTCCAGTGTTAGGGGCATTGGAATTGATTATTTGATTATTTTGTGAAGTTCGTGACTGGCTGGGTTTAGATGGAGAGATCAGTAGCGAGAGCCTGCAGACATGCAGCCATAGTAGCTCCCTGCGTGTGATGATGCTTCCCTAGGACGGCCGTACAAATGGTATACACGGACTAAACCGCTCCAGCGTACAGCTGGTAAATAACGAAAGAAGCATGGCCCAGCATACCTGGCCCATGAACACCTTTTATTGCACTTGTACTGGTCAGAAATTTGAGTAAGTGGTTGTACTTAAGCTTGCCCCTTGATAGCATAAAAGGTGGGCCTCAACCAGGACAAGATCCCACACGCATATCCTCGAGGAGGTCCGAGATAACCTGAAGAATGACTATCGATCAATCTCCCAATACCGCAATCAACATTTGTCGAGTTCCCAAGGTGGGGAGGGAAGGAAGCCCCATTGAAAGCTTATTTACGAGAAATTGTGCCGCAACCAAGCCACCATAAAACCCAATAGAATCTGCCAACCCTGGCGAAAAGGAGATTTTGTCTCTGTCGAACAGAGCTAACCGTGCCAATGACTGTAACTTGGAATTACAAGTGCCGTAAAAAGGTCAAAAATCGATGCGTTGCGGCCCACTTAGTCTAGGAGCTTCATCTCCAGCGGCACCTCGCTCACAAGTGGGGGTTTCATATTGAAAGCCAAGTGCTTGAATATAATATAGAAACTTCATTTTGAAACAGGCTCAAAACTCTGTTAAAGAGTCAGGGAAAAGATGATGGCAGAAATGTGACTCCTCGCTAGGTGGTGAAGACTCTGGAACCAAACATTGAACCGCTCGGCACGGCAGAGTCACGTCTCGGACATGTCGCCTGCCTTCGGAGGCTGCGTCCACTTGCATCGCGCCTCTCGTATCTCGTCCTGGCAGCTGGAATCGAGAAACGACCGCCTGATCCTCGACTTACTCCTCCCAGTGATCCTCTTGGAACCAGCACCGAGTACGGAGTACTGTTTGGTGCTTTCCTCGTATCGCCACTGAGAATGTTGAGTGGTCCTCCACTCTATGAAGTGTCTGTCCAGAAATATTTACAACAATAATCATGATTCTCAAGCAGCTGGAAATCACCTTACCTGGGAAGCCCGGAATAGGACCATGTGAATTTGAATGGGGCTTCAGGTTGGGCCGGTCATACAATACCCTCTCTTTGGTTTACGCGTCCTTTTCGCAACCTTCTGCCACCTCGGACATGTAATCTTCGGGTCAACTTATTCTCGAGGGTATCCCAACCCGTCAGCCTTCAGTATATCGTCCACCAGAATCAACACCCTTTCCAGGTCTCATTGCTGTTTTTTTCTCTTTGATTCAGTTGCTCTGATCGGCATACAGTGTATTTCCATAGCTATAAAGGCCATTCCTGTTACAACTCATATCGCTTCCGCGCCGCTTACGACAGGGTACAATTCCGTGGTAACGAAATCCACAACGGAAAGGATGACACTGCCGAACGGATAACCGGCCCCTACAAAATTCACCAATCTTTCCGGACCCTCGCTACTCCAACCCCTGATATACCCGTTACAGGACCTGTACCCTGACACTTTCGATAGGCCAAACGGCCACGTTCCTATCGCTATTATCCCTCTTAATAAACTTTGGCGGTTGCCTAATAGAGTGCCCGCTTCGGACGATTCGGACATTATTGTATCTTATTTGCTTCGAATGCCAACCTCACCAAAGGATATGGAATGTGCTCTCGGGATTATCCTTATTTGTTGAATGGCTGTCTGATAGGAGTATGTCTTTATTTGCTCAAGCTTTCACAACTCTAGCCTATTACCGCTATTCTATACATATCGCTATTTTATATATATACTGTAGTGGTGGAAACCGTGACTGTAGCGTATTATTGGCCTAAGGTGTCGCAAATGCCCTAGGAAGCTTGCATACAGTCTTCCCCTTCTAGGGATAGCATCCATCCATCATCAATATGACTACAGTTTTTCCACCAGATTCTTCATTCATGATATAGCTTCAAGATCAGTACTTCGGTCGCTTCCTGAGACTACTCTCTACGCCTACGGTGGGCATGGGAGTGGTTGGTTGTCTTCTCTCCATTGATATCGACCCGTCTGCTATATCAGACTGCCATCGAGCCATCCCCATTCCAATACGTATATATATAACTTTTCTTTGTTTTACAGTGAATCATTTAATGAAGGATTTGGAGAGATGCGGGGTAGACTGAATATATTCGTTAGTGAAAGTGTCTTTCCTTAGTGCTGATGGAAGCTTCCGCTAGTAAAAGCGTCTTTCCCTAGTGCCGATAGAAGTGGCAGGAGCACGGCATTATTGACCAGCCCGCTACCCTTAAGATAAGACATAGAATGGTACGTACGAAGTAAGCAGGATAAACTTAAGTAGAAATTGTCTCATTACGTAATCAATGCCCCGCTTACGGGAATTGATAGGGACACTCCCACTTTTGTTCCGGACACTCCTAATTATGTAATATCCATGATTAGGTAATTGAAAACGTCATGTGATTGTATTGGAATTACCACAGCAACATCATTCTAAATGTCATACCATAGTATAGTATAAATCCCCAGCCCTCGCCTCCCTCTTTTCTTAGCTCCTCAAATCTCTGCCTCTCGGATTTTTCAGAAATGGAGCCCCCTACTGAGCAAATTTTTGATAGCAGAGATTTATTAATTGCCTCTGTCCGTCAGCATGCTCTCTCGCAAGGTTACGCTGTCACTACTATACGATCAATCACAGATAAGTACATCTATCTTGGTTGTGACCGTGGTGGCACGTATCGTGACCGAGTGAATGCTCCTGATGGAGCGAAACGAAGAACGACAACTACACGGCGGATTGGCTGTCCATTTAAGCTATACGGGAAAATGCTTTTTGATGATAAGTGGGAGTTACAGGTCCAAAACCGGAATCATAATCACACAGCTGATGATAATATGATCGGACATTCAGCTGCCCGTCGGCTCACAGAGGAGCAGCTTCAAAAGGTCCTACATCTATCGGAAATTGGATCTAACCCTCGTGGCATCCTAGCTCTAATCAAACGAGAGCATCCTAATGCTTTAGTTACCCCTCGAGACA